AATATCCCTACAATGACAGAATACACATTATTCCCTCCTTTATGCTTCCAATTCTTCCATAATAAAATAATGTTTAATTTACTACACGTTCACTCATAATAATGAGTATAATTTGTAGCTTCCCCTGAAGTTTGGCAGGACCATGTCACTGGTTTCAAGCCAGTGAGTTGCAAGTGGGAAGATATTCAGAATTTCCAGTCATCCACAGGGCAAGAGGATCCCTATCCTACTACCTATAGTGTGACTGCAATAAGATACTATTAAAAGAAAAACTTTAGAAAAATTAAATTTAAGGGTTTATTTGAGCAATGAATCATGAAATGGGCAACACTCAGAAACAGAAGAGGTTCAGAGAACACTGCTAAGCAGTGTGAGCAGCAGAGTTTTATAAGTTTAATGCAGAAACAAAGTAAAAAAAATACTTGATTGGCTATAGCTAAGGCATTTACCTATTTGGGTAGAAGTCCCTTGTTGGAAGTTATTTGGCATTTTATGATTGGTTAAGTTTAAGCTTCACTTTGCTATTTACATTGGGCTTCAATTTGCTTGCACAGGACATCTCAGCTTAACAGCCTGAGAATTAAACTTTTAAAAGCAATGTTTTGTATTACTCAGGTTAAGGAAGCACTCAAAAAATGTTGATGTTCTAAGATAAAGGTCTGAATCCCCAAATATCTTGCAAAAAAAGAAAGAAAAGAAAAATAGGCTCCAGCCACAGTGGATTTTTTACTTGAAAAAATATATGTTCCTATATTTTTAGTCACAACTCCATCAACAACAAATGAACCATAGACTTATCAGGATAGATTCAAAAATAGAAAATGTGGAATGCCTGAGGGAAGCTTTAGTCTAGCCCTAACTATGAGCAGTATTCATAGAGCTCACATAACTTTGGAATAGGTTTCAGAAAAATTACAGGCTATAATTTACATAGATGCATTTTAATATTATTATACAAATATTGTTTGATGGGTAATTTTGACCAAAACGTAGAAATGTAGTCTGTTGGCAATGACATTTTTATATTTGGGGGAATTAAAAGTATTGAACTCTTTCCTATGAAAGCTGTAAGATTAGACTAAGGACTCACTGAATTGAGTTAAACCTTAATGTCCATCATACTTCTGCAGCAGAAGATTCATCTAAATGAAACAGAATCAGTATAATAAATATTTTTATCCGAGCTAGAACTTTTTCAGATTAACCAAAGAAAAAAAAAAAGAATTTTACTTGTTGGAATTTTCTTTTAACACCATTACTAAAAATATCTAAAATCAGTTTTTATTCCTCATTACCTTATGACCATATATTGAACAGTTAATTTGCATAGTATTATGACTTAAACATTTACAGATTAAATTACTTAATGTTTGACGTGTATTTTAATATATCTGAGGTAGGGATATCAATACAGGCATGAAAGAAGATTGGTCATGTGTTCATATTGGTTGAGCTGAAAAATAAGGATTCATTATACCAATTACTCTTCTTATACACTTTATGCATCATAGTAAAAGTTAAACTTGGTGAATGATATAGAAGACTAATGCAATTTAAGACCATTCTAACACAATAGTAGATGTTTTACTACATGCAAAGATGGTATGGAGAGTTTATAGTATGACTACTTTTATACTTCTCACCACTGAGTCCATAATTTGAACCATCTCTTCTTCAGTTTTTACTTTTGTCCTCCTATTTGATTAACATTTATGTCTTTTCTTTTTTTTTTTTTTTGGTGCTGAGATCAAACCCAGGGCCTCACGCATGCTAGGCAAGCACTGTACCATCGAGCTACATCCCAGCCCCTTGATTAACATTTAAAATGTATGAATTCTACCAGTCTTCTTGCAAGTTTTGAATATTCAATATTGTTTAGAAAAGTCTGAAAACTTGCATCATTATGGGCCAGTATCAAACTTGAAGAGCTCCTGAAAGAAAAAGGAAAACTCTAGGATCAAAGAGCCAACCCTAATGACAGTAATCCCCATGTAGCAGTTGCTCCATTATTCTTTGAAAAGTTACAAGAAGGCAAATATAAGTGTTAGGCCTACAGATGAGTCAGAAGATGTGCAGTAAGGAGCAAAACGAAGAGAATTTAGTCAACAATAAAAGAAGAAATGTGGTCTTGGCAAAATCGAGTAGTGGTTAAGGCTGAAGAAGTTCTGCTGAGGAAATGCACTATAAAGTTCAAGAAAGTTACAACTTGTTCTCCTCCCCACCCTCCAAACACAGACCACATCCTTTAAAAACTGAAGAATAAGTTAAGTTAAAACAGTTACATTTACTTTAGACTTTCCTCTCTTACTCCCCCCCCCACTTCCACACTGCAACAAAATATGGTAATAAAGTCAATGAAGTTACTTCTGGGCTGGTTTCAGAGGGAACATAGAGAGGTCTCTATATGACTTGAGAGTATCTGAAGCATGGGGCAGCTCATGTATTTATAATCTCATTATTTTCTTCAAGTCTACCAAGCACCAAAAATTCCTCTTTTGGAAACCCTTTACCACTTTTTAGTAAAGTCTTTCGGTGGCAGCCAAAATGTATAATTCCTAACAACTTTGTTATTATAGAAGACAACAGGACTTCCTGTAAGCCCTGGGGATATGGATGAGTTGGGTTAGAAATCACTAAAGCAGGAAAAAGAAAATTAGGCTGAGAGGAGGACCAAAGACAATCTTCTTGACTTAATATTCTTTTGCTATTTAAGTAATTCTGTTTTGAGAACAGTGGGGGACAGGGCAGGCAGTGGGAGATAATTTTCTCCCTTGCCCATTTCACCAAAAAAAATCACACTGGCATATTTTAACAATCCTTAAGACTAAGAAGAAAACATTCCCTCTGCCCCCTCATCACAAATATAGGACTTTGTCCATACTGAGAGTGAGGGAATAGTTTTCGGGAAGGTATGAATAATAAAATGTCTGTCTATGATAGGAAAGGGGGACAAGAGTAGGGTGGGGTGAAGTGATTCTCTGAGTTGAATGCACTTCTCCAGTGAATAGGAAGGGAGAGTAGAGCCTCAGGGACTTTTGTCCATGTGTATAAGAACACTAACAAAATCCTCAAATCTATCAGTTTGCCCTAACAAGTAATTAAATGTGCATTGACTTTGGGAGGCAGAGAATTTCTATGTAATTACAGGCAATCTTTATTATTAAAATGCATACTATAAATTATAGTTGTAAATAAATTCCAAGTGCAACATTTCACAGTATCTTGGAAGTTAAAACAAAAAAGGTGACATAAAAATTAAGTTGCACAAGAGTTCCACTGATGTACTCTTGCAGATCAATGCAGCTTGGTCTTTTGTTCCTGGGGCAAATGGTTCCTCTTCATGGAATTACCAATTAACACAATTTGCTGACTAATTGGGTGACGATGAAAACATAAACCATTTGAAATTAATAACAATAATAATTACAGTAAAGACAATAATAATAACATGAACACCACTCCATATTTAATTTTTCTCTTATTGGGATAATTACGTTTGCATTTTGAAATCAAAATTTAAACAACTTTATAAAGGAATTATGAAGTTTTTATCTTTAATTATATATTACCATAATTGAAGGTATTTTCTCTTTGTACCTTAATTTCATAGAACTCCAAGAGCGATAGATGAGAGCTCTAAAGAGAAGATTTACCAAGGAAGCGGGAATCTCAAAAAGGAGGCAGCTCTCTGGATAGTAGCTGCAACACTAATTCTTAGTTTAGATTTTTTCCTGGAAATTAAGGCCAGAGTTAGAAGGGAGAGAGATCAAAAGAAATTTAAAAAAAAACAAAGATCTTGGAAGTGGATAGCCATGCTTTGGGCTATATTTCTTAGAATTTAGTGTCTCCATAATAGTAAGCAAAATAGTTGGTACTTAGTATACCTAACCTGAAAGACACTGTTGTAAGACCCACTTTGTTCAAAATATTTTCCCTACCAGCCAGGCACCGATGTCTCATGCCTGTAATCCTAGCTATTCAGAAGATAGAGGTCAGGAGGATGGCGGTTCGAAGCCAACCCCAAGCAAACAGTTTGGGAAACCCTATCGAAAAAAAAAACCATCACAAAAAGGTCTGGTTGAGTGGCTCAATTCGCCAGGGTGCCTGCCTCTCAAGCATGAGGCCCTAAGATCAAACCCCAATGCCACCAAAAAAAAAAGATATTTTCACTTCCAGTATATCTTCTTCAGTGTCTGTCATCCCTCCACTGAAAGTCACCACTTTGTGTTAATGCCTAATCCTAAAGTTTGAGATTCAGATCTGTCTGGGTTAATTAATATTAAGCTATGTCATTAGCACCTTAATGTACCAAATTACTGCTTAGAAGAACAAGGGGATAGAGGAGAAAACCAAACATACTGATGCAGTGTGGAGTTAAAAACCTAAACCTGGATGGGCAGGCCTGAGTATAAGGAGTAGCATAAAAACATTGGATACATATCTTCTCCATGAATGGTGTCAATGGCCTGCCTAACAAATGGGCTGTAACCTCAACCACTCTTCTACAAGGATAAATTATATGTAGAAATATTTCCTCTCCACTTTAAAAAAAAAGAGATGCTAAAAGTGAAATAAATGTTAACAAAATTAAATCAGTGGTCTACCAAAGGGACCTTAAGAAGTGTACTTCGTGCTAATGTAGTTTCTTACTTAATGTAGAACCTAGCAAGCATGAAGAGTATAGACATGAGTCTCCCATTATAATTACCCACAGTTGTTTCACAATTTCACAAAATGATTACTTGCAACCCTATTACAACACTAAATTATAGTCAAACACAAATCACTGTAAAGCAAACAGACCAGGCACAGTTATACTTAACTTTTTTTAAAACAAAAATTAACACTCACTTAAAACTAATTTAATACATCAAAACATGTACCTTAAAATGAATAATTAGAAGATACATAGATACATTATTGCTAGCAGCACAAAGTTTTTTTTTAATACGGTATTATTTTAATACCAAGGTAGAAGCAAAATCAACACTTATCCAGAGAAAACTTTCCATTAATCTGATGTATTAGAGTTCATTTTGATTTCACCAATTTCTCCTCCCCCAAACATATTAGTATCATAACTGTGTGCCTAAAACCTCCCCTTCCTCTAAATATATAAAAACCTTGCTTGTTTCTGCATTCATTATGGATGAAAAGTAAAATGTGTCTTTATTACATATCCCACAGATTTTAAGTAAAGCATTTTTTAAAAGTTGGAGATTTTTGCTGAACCATGGCTCAGCATATTCTAATATATACAACCTGAGGTTGAATTATTACTCATACCCCAGGTTTCTCTTGCATAAAAGTATCAAACAGGTAGCAGGCAAGGCATTTTAAGGGGTACCCAAGACTGCCAAAATGTTCTTCTGTACTTTTCTCAAAATGTGAAAGAATTGCCCTCTCCAGTTTTTGGGAGGTAGGCTGTGCAGGCTTCAGAATGGTATGGCTTGGGCAAAGCTGGACTGGAAAAAGAATTCAATGCAGGCTAAAAGGACCACATGACTGAATGCCTCCAAACCCTTCTCTGGTTTGTGGAGATGGTTTGAAAACCATCACCCAGCATAATTCAAGAAATACAGTGTGGTGACGATTTTAAGAGATGAGTTTGACTTTGCCTTATCTTTTTATTCTGTCTTAAGCTTAGTGATTAATTAGTGCACTATTTCTTCCAGAGGCTCAGTAAGTACAGTAACCTGTCAGAGTGACTTTAATGTCACTCTGGAAACATGATGAAAAATTCCTCTACTAGGCAGGTTCATATATCTCCAGAGCTGTTCTTTGGAAATAGTTGAAGAGAGCCACAACTGTGATTGTCACCTATCTGCTTTCCCCTGAGTCTAGAGGTCTTAGCGTCATCTCGGGTAAGCTCATGAAAACTACCTGCCCTAGACGGATTCAATGTGACATTTTATACATTCACAGAGGATTATAGTACATGAATCTGTGAATTGTTTTTAGTTTAAACATACCAGAGACCTGAGTTCAAAATTTCATTCAATAACTAGGTGTGATAGATCATGCTTCATGTTGACATTGAATGAAGAAAACAGCTTTTCGAGTCTTCAAACCCAGAGTATAATCACACAATAGAAATAAAAATGATCTTGTGATTATAACATTTTGTTTACACAGAGCAATATATTGTCTATACTACTTAAAATACAACCAAAATATGAAGTTGGAATGTAAACTGTCATTGCTACAATAAATAGACAATTATACTTCTGAAAATCAAGACTCTATCTGTAGAAACAAAATTAAGTGCTTACTGTGGCCCCAAGCTAATCACCTCTTTGTGACTTAGGTTCACAAAACTGTGGACTCCAGTTGAGCAAAAATGCTTGTATAGAAAGTCATTGAAATTTTATAGTTTAAGTCTTGAAGACTAGATGACAAATTACTACAGGACATATCAACATCAATGATGGTGGAACATAATGCTCCAAACAGGTCCTTTTATAAAGATGTACATCCCCCATACAGGCAAGATAGAACTTAACTGAAAAGTTGTGAAGGCTTTCTGTGAGTATTTCCTTCCCTGTTGCTTGGAGTATTGTGAATGTGTTCTGCTATACTTGTGTTTCAGGCCACATTCAGTTTGGCTTTATTTAACATAATTCAGTTGCCATGTCAGAAGGGGTATGGCTATTCACAAATGATCTTGTATGGAGTTGGATGCTATCATGCAGGTCTTGTCTTGAAAGACGTCTTCTGAACTCATTAGTGGTGAAATAGTATATGACTGGGTCAAGGCAGGAATTCAGACTAGCAAGACATAGGGCCACAGAATGAAATATTAGAATCACTCTTCTGGCTAGGCAGCTTTTAATTTCATTGGACTTGACTAGAAAATCTAAAGGAAAACTGAAGTGGTAAGGTGCAAAGCAAATTAGGAATACCCCTGTACAGGTTAAGATCATCTTCAAGGCTTTCTTTTTCTCTCCAAGGTCTTGAGCAACAGGATATTTATCTTTGAGTGATAAAACTGTCTTCCAGGTACAGTACAGGACAATCAGAAGAGGAGTCACAAATCCAATTGACTCACCAACAGTCATCATGGCAACAGACTGAGCCAGACTAACGTTTCTGGTAGGTAGATCCACAAAGCATTTGGTTCTGTTGCCTGGTGTGTCACCATTAGTTCTGAGAAGAGGGAAGAGAAGACAGGCAAGGCAGATAATCATCCATCCAGCAATGCTAATGTACAAGTCATATTTTTGTTTGCAGTCATTGAAGCGAAAAGGATACATGAGAAACCAAAATCTTCGCACACTGATGCAGACTAAGAAGTAGATGCTTGCGTACATGTTAACATACTTCAGGTAGAAACAGAACATGCAGAGACCGGGTCCAAATGGCCAGTCGTGGTTCAAGTAATAAAAGATCCTCAGTGGCAGGGACAGAACTTGTAATAGGTCTGCAATAGCTAAGTTTATCATAAATATCACAGCTCGTTTGGTTTCTTTCATATAGCCATAAAATACCCACAAGGCTAATATGTTCCCTATGAGACCAGGCATGAGAATGACAGTGTATGTCACTGCATAAATAAAGTACCGAAAATCTGTATTGTCTCCATCTGTTCTGTTACATGTATCATTAGCAAGCATGACTCTTTCTAGAGAAATTGTTTTTGCCTAATGGTAATTCAAAAACCTAAATTCACATTTAACAGCCTCTCATTCTACAAGATGTATGGTCAATGGTTTAGAGAGACTGAGTATAGAACAATCTTCTTTTTGCCACATCAATTAGTCTCTAGAATGATTTGGGGACTTTTCAAAGGGTTAACTGTACATTTTTTTGAATTTGTCTACAGTAACTACATACAAGTAAATGTGAAAATGAGAAGTTGATGTAATTTTCTCCTCTCCTTTATTATATTGTAAGGCCTTCCAGGACATCACAACATTTGGTTCTCCCCCATTTGGATCACAAATGTGCCATACAGCAGCTCCTCAAACTCCATGTGATGATAGACATCTCTTTAGAAATGTTTGGTAGCTTCTTCTTTTTCTTCTTCTTCTTCTTCTTCTTCTTCTTCTTCTTCTTCTTCTTCTTCTTCTTCTTCTTCTTCTTCTTCTTCTTCTTCTTCTTCT